TGTGTGTGTGTGTGTGTGTGTGTATGTGTGTAGTGCACATTTGAGTCTTTTGTGCTTAAAAGAAAAAAAACTGAATTGTCTTTTTTCTTACTGACTTGTAGTTCTTTATATTTCTGAATAGAGTGCTTTGTGAAATATGTATGTATGTGTATGTAGGTGTGTATATACATGTATGTGTGTGTACATATATGTATCTATGTCTATGTATTTATATATACTTTCTTTTTTTGAGATGGAGTCTCACTCTTGCCCAGGCTAGAGTGCAGTGGTGCCATCTCAGCTCACCGCAACCTCTGCCTCCGATGTTCAAGCAATTCTTCTGCCTCAGCCTCCCAAGTAGCTGGGACTACAGTCGTGTGCCACTATGCCCGGCTAATTTTTTTTTTTTTTGTATTTTTAGTAAAGACGGGGTTTCACCATGTTAGCCAGGATGGTCTCGATCTCTTGACCTTGTGATCTGCTCGCCTCGGCCTCCCAAAGTACTGGGATTACAGGCGTGAGCCACCGCGCCCGGCGTATATACGTATTTTTAATCCTAGTCTGTGACTTGGTTATGTCATTCTTCATGGTATCTTCTAATGAACAGAAGTTTCACTTAAGATCAATCTATTCCGTGTTTTCCTGTAGAAATGTTGTGAAGATTTTCACTGAAAAATTTTTGTGTAGGGGATGAAATGTTTGCAGTCGCATTTTGGAGAGTTGATGCCTGCCCCAGCATGGATGTGGCCATGAGGGAGGCTGATGGAGTCCTCCAAGCAGGAGAAGGTGGTGGTCTGGACTGGGGCGAGGGGAGATTGGCCCAGGGAGTAGACGGAGGGAAGTGGAGGATGTGGAGAGATATTCAGAGGCAGACTGATAGGATTAGAGTGGGGCATGATCTCTTAGAATCCTTTAGGGCACTTTCTATTTTAAAAAATGCTAACTCATGAGTCGCTGGAGCAGACCATCCTGCCAGGCCTGCCCAGCCTGTCTCCCACACCTGGCAGGCCTGAGCGGCTGTTGGTTTTCACACCTGCTGTGTGGTCCTGTTGGCCCGTAACACAGGATTCCTGTAGCTGGGAGAACCTGCATTTATAGCATCCTTGGACTAACGCGATTTTTACATTATGTAAATAAGTATATATTTTTATGTTATATAAATATACAATATAAAATATATAATCATATATAAGTGTATGCATTTATATACATATACAGACATACAGATATATACACACACATATTGCATCATGAATCAGGAACTCTAAGTTCTAGTGGTAATTCTGACTGGCAAGTGTCCCACCTCTGGTTAGGAAAAACACTCCTCTCTCCTATTTCCCATTGTCCTGCCCTAAAAAACAGGCAGACTTGCCTTATTTTTGGAGTTAGCATTTGTCATGGAGGTGCTGTGGTTTAATGGTCCAGGAAGAAAACCGCTTTGGAGTTTTTGCTCCTGGTAACCATTGGTAACCAGTGGGTAGGAGAAGCTAAGCGTGTTCAGCTGTTTTAGGTGGGGCTCCCCCAGAAGCAGGCCCAGAGACAAGGATGGAAACATGAATAGCTTTTTGGGGAGCTGACCCCAGCAGCATTGTTGCACGAGAGTGGAAAGTGAGACAGGGAAACCAAGAGGCCATACAGGGTGTGTGATGAAAACCAGACACCTCAGGCTTCTTCCCCAGAGGAGGGAGGGAGCTGGGGTGTTGATATGCCAACTTCCTTCGTCTTTGGTGGAGGCCTGCTCTGGGGCATTCATTGGCTCCATTTATGTCCTGAGCTACTCCCACGGCCAAAAACCAAGCCTATAGCTAGAAAAACGGCAGATGTCCCCGGGCCATCTTCTGCTTCTAGAAGTAAAGACCGCAATGTTCTTAGCTTACCGTCTGCTTCTAGAGGTGAACGCTGAGGGCAAAGGGCTGGGCACCAGTGGCGGCTGCTGAACCCTCCTTGAGAAACATTTGGATGCTGTGACATTTGTATATTTGGAAATTTAGTCCGTTGAACTTTATGTTTTAACTTCATGGTCTTTTTTTTTTTTAGACAAGGTCTCACTCTGTAACCCAGGCTGGAGTACAGTGAGGCCATCTCAGCTCACTGCAACTGCCCCTTCTGGGGATCAAGCGATTCTCCAGCCTCAGCCTCCCAAGTAGCTGGGAGTACAGGCACAAGCCTCCCACACCCAGCTAATTTTTGTAGAGATGGGGTTTTGCCATGTTGCCCAGGGTGGTCTCGAACTCCTGAGCTCAAAGCGATTCACCCGTCTCGGCCTCCCAAAGTGCTGGGGTTACAGGCCTGAGCCAGTGTGCCCGGCCTCTTTGGCATTTTAAAAAATACTTTCTTTTCCCTTCTTACTACAAACACATTCATTTATCAGAAGGCAACACAGCAAAGGAATCAAGAGAGCGGGCTTCATGGTCTTAGTGTCTCTGAGCCTCAATTTCCCCATCCGTAAGATGGGAGTAAAATGCCACCTGCCTCTGAGGTTGCTGGGATAAATCATTTTTTTGTCTGTGAAGCATTTCACATAGAAACTGGCTACACATCCAAATACAAATACTTCTCTTGTTACCGTTACATAAAACTTATAACTACACAAAAAAGATTAAAAATCAGCCATAGCCTTACCTTTTTTCACTTGGAGATAATTTTTGTAAACATTTTCACACGTGTTCCTCTAAGTCTTTCTCTCAGCATCCATACATTCAAATTTATATACCCATCCTTCTGCCTCTATATAAAATGGAAAATAGGATTTTTTTTTTTGAGACAGGGTTTCACTCTGTTGTTCAAGCTGTTTTGCAGTGGTTTTATTGTAGATCACTATAGCCTTGAACTCCTGGGCTCCAGTGATCCTCCCACCTGAGCCTCATGAGTAGCTGGGTCTGCAGGTGCACACCAGCACGCCAGGCTAATTGTTGTGTTTTTTGTAGAGATGGTGGGGAGGGGGGTCTTACTATGTTGCCCAAGCTGGTCTTGAACTCCTGGCCTTAAGTGAGGCCTTGGCCTCCGGAAGCACTGGGATGACAGGTATGAGCCACCTTGCCCAACTGAAATGGGCTCTTCCTGTTCATATTGTACCTCTAAATGTGTTAAATTTAACTGTTATTTATTTGGCTAGCTAATAACGTTCGATTCAGAGCGAAAAGATGCCAAAGTGTGGACACTAAAAATTCTCTCTACCATCCCTGTTCCTCCATCTGCCCACTTCCCTGCCCTTCAGGGAACACACTTAAAACTTAGTTTTAATTTCTTTTACTTCCCCCCAAACTCTTTGTAACTGCTTTTAGCTGAAAGCGTAGAAGATTTGATTGTACTCATTATGACTCATTAACTGTCAATCAGTGTATCCTGAATGAATTCCATATAGGTGACAAAGGTTACCTTAGAAATTGAAAGGTTGGCCGGGCACCGTGACTCACCCCTGTCATCCCAGCACTTTGGGAGGCCTAGGCGGGCAGATCACCTGAGGTTGGAAGTTTGAGACCAGCCTGACCAACATGGAGAAACCCCATCTCTACTAGCTGGGCTTGGTGGCGCGTGCCTGTGATCTCAGCTACTTGGGAGGCTGAGGCAGGAGAATTGCTTGAACCCAGGAGGCAGAGGTTGCAGTGGAGATAGAGATTTTCCTGGTTCCTGTATGTTGGTTAACAAGGGAGATGGATTTGGGGGTGGAGGGGGCCATGGTGGATCATGCAAACTCACTGCACTCCCCAGTCTAAACCACAAGGGCTCTGTTCGTGTAATAATAACTCACTTCATTCCTTGGATCCTTCGCTAAGCAGAACGCTTCATTAACCCAAGACCTCTACTTTACATGCCTCGTCCTAGTGCGCCCAGCATTTAAGGCAGAGGGACAAAGATGTCAAAATAAACTCTTCTCAGTGGTGCCAGAGGTCATACATAGCTCCTTCCAGTGGGGAGGCGGGGTGGGTGGGGTAATTCGTGGTTAAATTAAATAAGGTGGCCGGGTGCGGTGGCTCATGCCTGTAATCCCAGCACTTTGGGAGGCTGAGCTGGGCGGATCACAAGGTCAAGAGATCAAGACCATCCTGGCCAACATGGTAAAACCC